GATAGTCGGAGTACATTCAAACATGACATAATTGCTCCTATTGCTGAATAATATGTGACGTGCAATTCGACAATTGAGGGAGAATCATATCTCAAGATAATTGAACGAAGATTGGCGAATAAATGTGTACAAGAAAAGGCATTTGGTACTGATGTAACATCCAAAAAGAGTGTTTCAATGGCATTTTCGATGTGTGGCATCGAAGTGAGAAACCAATTTCGTGATATCTTTGGAGGAAGACAAAATTGGCGTACCGATTGGATAACAATCGAATTGAAGCGCCAATTGAGATCAGTGAATGCTTGAACAAGCTCGGGCGAACTCAGATAAGAAATAATTATAAATAAGAGCTCGTTTGGTAAAGTTTCCAGATTACTACTCAACGATAATATAAAACAAACAAGCCTTTTATGAATCATCTTACCTTCTTGCAATAATCACATTTGTCTGTTGTCTCTGAGTACTCACGATATTCATTTGATGGAGACAATGTTGTATGAGATGACTGTCTGATATCGCCCTGGTAGCAACGCATTGATTGTTAGACGTAGAAACTTGAAAGGATAAGTTGCTTTGATCTTCGTGTTCTAGTTTCAGCCGTTTACTGATCCGATGATCTTTATCTTCTTCAAATAAAAGAAGAAGCATTCAAGAGAATAATGAGTAAAGAATAGTACCTAAATTCTTCCGGCAGTCGGTACGTGACACCTTCATTGCCTGATTCTCAGTTGAATTCATTATTTTAAAATCTGAAATTTGAAAACCGAACAAACATATAGTTATTTTCGATATTGACATAGCATTATTTCGATGTTATTTTCTTTGAATTAGAAAATTGTCGAATGAAATAACGTCACATATATTATGTATAAATTTTAGATTCAATATTGAGTCACATTGTGACGGCTTTTCAAAGCATGAAAAGTGAAACTGTTTTATTCCACAAGTTGAAAAAAATGGCGATCTATACGCTGAGCAGTAACACTAATCACGTGTAGAGAAAAAAAATAGTAAGGGCAACTAATTAAAAGAAAGACAAATGAGAGATGACAATTGTCAGACAATGTCAGCTTTTGAAAAAATTTGAGAAAAGTTGACAAGAAGATTCGGGTCGGTCTCATCATCACTATGGTAATAACACGAAATAGCCTTGACTTGCCTAATTCGATCAAGAATCGGTTTGATACGTTCGTCGATCTTCAATAATGTATTCAGTTCTTTTGCCAATGTCTTTTTGGCAGTGTCACTCTTTTCACTCAAATTCAATTTCGTCACGTTGGGTGCCAATGAAAGCCATACAATCAATGTCATCGCATGTAATCCATTGAGCTTAGATGAATTCAAATCAAAATGTGTCACATGGGGCAATACTGGCATCACTGATTTGGTAGTCATAAACTAAAAAAAAACCATAATTTAATGACATGAACATTTCTTTTGATTTTAACATCTTCTAGATAAAATTTGAGAATGAGATCATAGAGTTTTAGTATTATTACTGGAGATAGGTCTTGATGAATTTATGAAAATCGAAGAAGGATATATGTGCATGACTTGATGGTCGAACATATTTTCTAGTCTTGCTTAGCTGTTTTCGAGAAAATCGGTTTATAAAATTTTAAACTGAAATTTAGCCTGCAGGCATGTCAAGTTGCTATTAAAATTTTCTGAAATTTTCAACAAAAATGAATGTAAATTTCTTGAAACATTGAACTTTCAAAGCTAGAAGTATTTACTAAGGCAAAACATAGTTGACAAGTGCAGCTGCCAATCCAATATTTCAAGAAATATACATTTGTTTTTATTGAAAATTCTAGAAAATTCTAGTAGCAACTTGACATATCTACAGTCAAAAATTCAGATCAAAACTTTATTATTTGTTTTTTTCCAAAAATAGCTGATCAGAGTTAGAAAATATAGTACCTAAGTTATAATACAAAGTCGTAACTCATGAAACAGTTAGGGTAATTTCCTTGCTAAATATTTTTTTTTCAGTCAAAAACTTATGTCTTAGAATAAATTCAATTTCGTTTCTGTTAATAATCATGCGACAGAGAAGGATTACCGGAACGAACCTGCGTAAAAAGTGACTCTTCATAGTTCAATGACCAATAGTCGAATTTCAGTATTTGGTGATCTGAACGAAAAATTCGATGAATGAAACGTAACAAATTGAAGTTGATTAGCTGCAAGTGATTGTTCTGGAAATGGATTGATCTCATTTTGGTAAAGCAGATAAGTGGTGAATTGAATTCTCCTTTATTCAATAGCCATCTTTGAGGATTGGTTGAAAATTTGAAAGTTACAGGAACAACACAGGGCATCGAACAAATCAACATTTCATTATCATTGTTGTATAGCACAACGACTGGTGGTCGACAAGCATCCAACCACCATTCATTCTGAAAATGACTCAGTTGCTTTGTAGCATTGATCTTTTGAATCTTACATTGAAAGACGAATTGTAATTTCTTAAGACGTCGACAGGGTTGAGTCAATGCTTGCAATTGTTTTCCATCAAAATTAAAGTGATCAGCACAAATAATCAATGCCAAATGTTCGAGAGAATACTGATACAAACGAATTAATTCATCAATGGAACTCCAATATACTTCAGTGTCATTATCAATAGCAATATACAATTGAGCTAGATGTGTAGGTCTGAAATTCAGAGTAGAAAGAGCTGAATAGTTCGAAAAGTCCTCATTTGCCTCGAGAGATAGAATCCAAAGCTGGATCAGATTGGGCGCGAGAACACATAGACAGCGTATGTCCTGTTCCGTACATTGTTGAATAGATAAACGCACAATAGCTGGACACGGTAAAGTATTCAAGATGGCTGCAGTCTAAAAATGATTACAATCCCAAGATATAATAAAAAGAAGAAGGCTAACTCACACACTTGCTCGTAATTATCAAATCGATTTTGTTCAGGCCACCATAAAAAAACATCGTCTGATTCTTCGAAAATCCAAATATTACAAATTCGAAGAATATTCAAACATGATACAATTGAACCGAGAGCAGAATAATATGTGACATTCAATTCGACGGTGAAAGCAGACGAATGCTTCAGAATGATTGATTGAAGATTAAAAAATGCATGTGTACACGAAAAGATATGAGGCATCAAGTCGATATCCAAACAAATCGTTTCAATCATATTTTCAATACGTGGTATATATTTCATAAACCAAGCTAATGGTGTATCATTAGGTAGGATGAAATGACGGACAGAAATCAATATAATCCTATCCAATCGCTGATTGAGACCATGAAACGCTTGAACACGATTGGGCGAATTCAGATAAGATATTATCATGAACAATAGCTCATCGGACAACGTTTCAAAACAACTATACATTTGTCAGCGAGAAAACAAAATAATCGCATTCACATGTTCGATATTAAAAAATAACATCTTTTATTCTTACCTATGAGAAACATTGTCATCGATACGATCGTTATGATCAAGTAAATCTTGAATGAGACAATTATGCCGTTTCTTAGCGACACCATGTGATAGAGCCTTGCCAGTTGTCGTCTGGTTGTTGGCTATTGGAGAGTGAATGATCAAGTTATTCTTTTCCACATCATCTATTTTCAGACGTTTTCTGCTTGAATCATTGTTATCTTTTAATCAAAAAGTAGGATATATTTTATCAGAAACTTGAGTGACAACAGTACCTGACTCATTTGTTGAGTGTTGGCCCGGGTTCAACGTCGTCTGATCATGAATAGCATACATTCAACCTCAAATCTGAAACACACATAAATGATCATTGAATTTTTTTATGCCTTAAAAAGAAACTAATCGACTTGCAGCATTGCAATTAAAAGGGATTCAATGAAGTCAATTGTTTTTCCTTGACTAAACAGTAGGTTTTTTTGAGTCGAAAAAACAAGCTGAATCATTTTACACACAATTTTATCGTATTTCATCATACATCATCTTTCTCGCCTATTCTGCTTTTACAAAAACGCCTTCTCACTTGTCTCAAACAGGTTTTTCTTTGCGCGGAAGAACGAAAAAAACATCGATGAGTCACTTCACTAGTTGGATAAAACCAACGACACTGAAAAACATCAAAATAAGTGTGGGTGTGAGTGTGAGTTTGTGATGGATATGGGTGTGTGGGTGTGGGTATGGGTGTGGGTGTGGGTGTGGGTGTGGGTATGGGTGTGGGTGTGGGTGTGGGTGTGGGTGTGGGTGTGGGTGCGAATGTATGGGTGGCTGTGAGTGTGTGGGTACGAATGTATGGATGGGTTTGAGTGTGTGAGTGTGGGTCTGACATTTTATTTCATCTACACCCACACTCACACCCATCCACACCCCCGCACCTCACACTCACATCCACACCCCCGCACCTCACACTCACATCCACACCTACACCCCACATCCACCCACACCCTCATTAACTAATAGGTTCATCGGTATTCAGGAAATATTGATTGTTCTATTCTGTGAAACTGACTGTGCACATTTTCTACTTTGGAGAAATTGTTCTAGAGAAGCTTGGCTCTTTCTAACAAAGATTCTTTCTACATAGTTTGAATATTTATTCAATAAGAATGAGGACTCAATTCAATGTTTTTTATTGATAAGAGAATGTCGTCATAAATCTTTCTGAATCAATACGGATCAAGACACTACTTCCTCATGATGCTTTTTTCAAGGCTATTGACGCTGCCGTATTACCTTCGCCGATTGGCATATCAAGAAGTGTTTGTGATGAATAAAGTCAATTTTGTCTAAAATAAAATTCGCAGAAATGACTCAGAGGAAGTAATGTAGAGGTAATTATGCATATAAATAACCATTGTTCGCAATGATCAAACTACACTATATGCATTCTATGATTCTTGTTCGATTTCTTTCGTTACTGATCCTCATAGTTGAGTGTATTCTCAGCCAAGAGTATGTTGATTCTCTCTCAGGAGGCAGCTGGCAAATTGTAGTTCCACAAAGTGGTGGTGGTGCGCGTGGAAAAAGTTTAGGTATGCAAACTGCTCATGCGGTGCTTCTCCCTTCCGGTCGCATTCTTCTAGCTAGTGGAAGTAGTTGGCGAAACCGTGGTCCCATTGAAACTTATCCGCACACGGCTGATCCTCAAAGTGGTCGTGGCATCTTTCGAGAAGAAGAAGATCCATTTCTTATCAACAAAATAGAAGACTATTATCAACTTGTGAACAATGTTGGGATCTATGATCCGAGCAAAAATACATTCTATCGCATTCCACATCCAGAGCCCGTTCCTGATCCGAAATGGCCTGAACATTTTGCACCAAATGATTTCTTCTGTACAGGTCACTTGCATGTTCCTGATGGCAACGTACTGTTTGTCGGTGGCACACAATACTATTATCCGTTTCGAACAGGTCACCGAGCAACATACCTGTTTGATTGGCGAAAAGAAGTCCAAATTCGATGGAACAACGTTGATTGGAGACGCATGCCCAGTGTTGCATTTGTGAATGATTCGACGAATCCATGGATTTTTGCGGGTACGTGACTTTTAACAAACATTCATTTGAATGTTATGATCATATTGACGATAGGATTAGCACTGATCGAACACTGATTATATGATTTTCCTTGTGTAGGTTTGATGGAACGAGGTCGATGGTATGCCACACTGGTGCCATTGATTGACGGTCGTCTAGTTGTACTTGCCGGTTTCGTTGGTTTTGACAAAGGCTATCCAGCGATGTACGCCTTCGAAAACAATGATTTCGTTGAATTTTTCGATGCTATATTGTTCACTGAATCGAATCCACAGAACGCATGGAAAAAAGTTCGTGTGAAATCGATCGTCAATGGACCCTTTACCAATCTGATCAACCCTACTTTCCGACCGACGCCAGGTGTGAATTGTACGAGCCGTTGTATCACAGACAATCAGTTTGATGTATTCAAACTATACGAACAAGCCTATCTGACAGCGGAAGGACGCATCTATTTAACACGGGAAGGTGATTTTGTCAGCGCTAGAACTCACGATACTGCTTTTATGCGGAAAACAACGGCTACCTATTACGTGCATGTTGACGGGTCTCGTCAAGCACCTAAAGTGTCATTTTCGCCGGGACCCAATAGATCTGAAAATGTCTCATCGTATGGAACGACGATTCTCGATCCAAATAGTAATCGGATTGCTCTTTTCGGTGGACAACCGACATCAGCTGGTACTTTTCTGTATCAATCCGGCACTAGTCAAGGTAACGTAAATCACTAAAATTGAGCTATTCTTGCTATTCTTGCTTTCCTTATTATAGGAGACCAACGTTTTACTGGAGGTCGTGGAAGTCGCAAGCTAGAACAATTTCATGCTTCGATCTATGAATCGAATGGTGGTCACTGGACCTTAGAACCATCTTTTCTTGGTGAACATCCACAGGATGATCGAACCATGCACTATGCACTCCTACTTCCCACTTCGCAAATTCTCATCATCAATGGAGCGAACTATGATTTTTATGGGTCGATCCATTATCCAATTTTATTAACACCACAATTTGATAATATTAATGGCACATTTCTCGGCTACACGAAGAAGCGCATGAATGAAGGTGTTGAAGCTCGTCTTTATCATAATGTCGCTCTGCTATTACCAGATGGTCGTGTGTGGATTTCTGGTGGCGGATCAGCTCGTGCTACGATTCATTATACGCCCTTGGCCCAGAAACCTCTTGTTGAACACAACACTAGTTCATATGGACAACCATTGCCTGACACTTCCAATATCGATTTAGACGTGGAAATGTTTGACGATGGCCGATTGGCAAAAAATTCGCGCGGTTCACTTAGTGTTCCTACCGAAACATGGGTAGCAGAAATCTTCAGTCCTCCCTATCTGTTTATCGACGGCAAAAGACGACCAGTGATCGTTTCGTTGAGTCATCCTCACAAGGTGGATTATCAATTTGAGAGTGTCATCGATGGAAAACGCTACTATTTACTTCGTAGCAATTCACAATACACTGTAAATTTAAACTATCTGCCGACACAATGTGCAAGTGGAACCAAAGAAAAGTTGGTTATGATCAAACTAGGATCAGCCACACATGGATGGGATAATGGACAACGTCTAATCAATCTTTCCTTTACAAGAATGTCATCGACATCAACTCTTTTACTGACAACACTCGATGCAAGAATAGCACTCATTGCACCTGCATTCTACATGATGTTCTATGTGGATTGTATGGGAAAACCATCTGCTGCACAGATAATACGATTTGATGATCAAGCTGTACAGCCATAGATAGAACTTGTTTTTAACAAAAGTTGAATCGCGTTTTTTAAAAATAAACAAGGTATCTTGCCGCTGTTTCACTGTTCACATATAAACTATTCTTAAAAGTAGAAATTGCCAACATCGATACTTGAGAATCAGTTGCGAAGCGAATAAGTAATCGCATACAATATTTTACACTAGACGCATCATCCCACCCAGTTTTCTCTATGTAAGAACAAAGTGAATCAGTCTGATTGATCAATAGATCAGAGAGTGAAATAGCATCATCAGCGAGAGTGTCGTCGAAGAAAAAAAGTACTTTGTGAATGAGGAATTGAAATTGTGGATTGGAATCGTGAATCTGATTTGATAGCGATAAGAACGAAAGGTAATCTATGTGTCCCTGGAGTTTTTGTGATTCTTCATATGAATACTGAAGTAAAAGTTTCTGAATTAACACTTTATGTGTTGTGTAACACTGGCTCTGAAGGTTGTGGATGTTGCCTAGGTAGAAGAATGGATGTGCTTGTGGGTGTAAATGAGTCTTCTGGTTGACGGTAACCTCACATCGAAATCCACATCCGCATACACTTCACCCACACCCACACCGAACCACACCATCAAGTGTTAAATAACTGAATACTTGAAAGTGAGTTCAGAAACTGAATTGAAGTTTCCAATACTATAGAATAGTTGAAAACTTGAATAATTGAATTGAATACTTGCATACTTGAATTCAACTTTCAGCTTTGACACTACTGGAAAAATCTTAACTGAAATGAAAAAAAAATTATTTTATTATTCTTTACATGCTTCTTATTGCATGTATCATATTGCCTGTAAAAATGTGTTGAATGAATTAGTTTGCAAATCATTGGTTACCAAATATAACTGATTCGTAGTTTTCTTCAAAAACGAAAAAGATATATTTATTTAACAATAAAATTTTCCATGTTGCTTTATCAAGTAGCTAGTTTTTTATCTATTACACTATTTAAATAACGATCATAGAATTTCGTTTGTGGATCGGCCTTATATATTTGAGGTGGTTTGATAGAGTCTCTCCAATCTTTACTAAGCGTGTGTATACTATAATAATCAGTTAAATTTGATCCACTATTATAATTACTTGTAATAGGTGGTAGATAAGAATTTTGATTATATATTGCAGGTGGAGGTGAATGTGATGAATCTTCTGTTCGTTGAAAATAAGGTGTTCGTTCTGATTTCTTAAATGAAGCATCAATAACTTGAAATTCACTATCAATATATTCTTTGGATGGTGACATATAATGATGATTATGATGATGATGGTGATGATGACGATGAGGATGTTGTTGTTGTGATTGGATAGGAGAATGGTGATGATGATGATGATGATGATGAGGTTGCTGAGATTGAGTAGGAGAATGATGATGAT